AATTGCGGACGGATTAACTGGCTTGGGCCCCGCCAGCTGGAACAACTCGTGTGGTTGTTCCGATGACCGGACCACCTGCGTCGTGATTGCAAGCGGCATGAGTAAAGTTTTTTACAACCAATAAGTTGTGTCAGCCTCTCCATTCACCAGCCCGCCCTGACGTACGAGTGTAACTCGAGTTGGCCCTGGCCGTCGGAGACAGTAAGTTTTAACATGAGCTGAAGAACCTGTTCAAGGTAATAACATGCTCTTTTAAAAAGGAAATTGCTGTATAAAGTAGGGGTGCACCGATCGAGATTTTGGAGGCCGATAGCTGATTTTAAAGGAGGCATATCGGCTGATACCAATCCGATTTCCGATACAGCTGTGTGCAGCTGATAAATCCATTGTGGTGGAAGGGGTGGGGAAGGGGAAGGTACAGTGTGGGGTGCAGATCAGCGTTCCCCATGATGAGGGAGAAGGGATAGGGGCAGGATCTGGCTAGCCGGGCCAGAGCAGAGCGTGGGGCGGGGCCACAGCTTGTGGTGGGGGGAGCAGCTCCCACCGCTGCTTGCACCCCGGAGAGAACCTGGATCTGCGCGGGGTGGGCGGGCTGCAGCTGCGGGCTGGAGCCGCGGCTGCGCTGGACACTTTTTGGGGGGGGTCTGGGCTCAGGGCAGGGGCTCTGGAGGGGGCTGCAGCCACCCCAAATTTTGCTGTAGCCCCGCTCCCAGCACTGATGCCAACGCCTGCCCAGCGCAGCCCCGGCTCTTCCCGGCACGCAGGTGGAGGCAGGATGGTAAGCCGGGGCTGCACTGGGCAGGTGTCAGTGTTGCTGCTGGAAGCGGGGCTATGGCAAAATTTGCAGCCCCCCCCCTGTAGTCCCCACCCAGAGCCCAGCCTCCACCTAAAATAGCTCGGCACAGCCCTGGCTCCAGCCTGCAGCCCTGCCCCATGCAGATCTGGGGGCACACCCCTCCCTGTGCCCTCCCGGGGTGCATGCAGCTTCATCCTGTGACCCACCCTGCCCCAGCTGAGCAGCGCCTACCCCCTCCCTCACCATGGGGGGCCCCCATGCCTCTGTGCCCCCATGCCTCTTCCTTCCCCCCTCCCCTTCTGCCACAACAGACTTACCAGCTGCATGCAGCTCTCCATACTGCCGGGCTCTGCTACTCTCTTCCTGAGTATGGGCTGATTTTCCAATACAGCCAATTTTCTTTATATTGATACCAATCTGATATCGGGCTGATGTATCGGTGCACCTCTAGTATGAAGTGAGACCTTTCAAAGCTGCAATCTTAGTTAACATTAAATTCTTTAAGCAATTTTTGTTACAAAGTATGTTGGGCTATTAGGAATTATCTTGTTTAGTCAAAAGTATGGAATATCTAAGCACACCACTTGGATAAATGATGCATTATCATTTCTGAGAGCTAATGTTGGCTGCTAATATAAAAATTAAAACAACTCTTCTCTTACTCCAGTTGGAGTGGGAAGGACAACAATGTAAACGGGGCAAATAATGTGTTTTCTAAACTGGTCCCCAAAATAGTAATTTATAAGTAAAAAGACTACAGCTCCTTTTATACTTTACTATCCTTTTATACTTAACTATCCTTGACTATTATATTAGTGTTGGTATCAGTCCTGATCCGATTAGTTATATATTTTCAAGAAAGAAAATAATGTACTGCTGAGGCTCCTTTACATGGTTTGTGCTGCAAAGATTCATATGCTTTAATACCATGTAAGATTGATCTGCTGGGCTCTTCATGATAAAAATACATGTTATTTAGAACTGTATTGTATGTTTTAAATACATTATGATTGTCTCACTAGAACACCAGTGGCATCTTTTCTTTTCTTTTTTTGTTAGTTTGGACACTGGAAACAATTGGTAACCCAGTGATTTCACTGGCCAATAATAATTAGCACTCAGGCAGAAGTTTTCATCCTCAGAGTGCTTTGCAGGCCATTACTAACGATTCCTCAGAGAGCATCATGATGTACATAACTAATAGTTTAAGTTTTTGTCCCTTTCCAAATACATGGAAAATGAAGGCAGAGGTTTAGTGAACTTTCCAGAGATCAGGACATAGGTGTTATAGCTTGGATTTTAATTTGTGACCCTGGTTGCTAGCACACGTCTCTTATTAATGTGTGATATACAGTTGGAAGTTGAGTTTCAAGGAATTCCTTGTAATGGGAAAGGTACCAAATCATTTAGCTCATCTGTTTTAAATAAAGTATGTACTGAGCCTCCCAGCTGGCCTTATGCTGACTCCTCTCCTAGAATGGTATTTACAGCCTTACATAAATTATTTGAGATTCACATATATGACTGCTCATATATTCTTTGATAAACTGCAAACTGAAATGTTAACATTTCTACACGTTGGTGACTTCTCTGCAGATATTCTAGGCATCATATTACAGACCTAATAAAGCTGTTTTGCAGAAAGCATTGTTATTAGGCCTGTGCAAAGCGGCTAGTATTCGCTCTGGATTCAGCAGATTCGGGGGACAGTGATTCGATACGGTGATTCAAATCACTGTCCCAAATTGGTTTGACCAAGTCTGATTTGGAGATTTGACTGCTGCCGAATCTCCGAATCAGCCAGGCCCATCCCCCACCTGCTGTCCCAGCCCGGCAATGGCTGCCCTGCCCACCCCAGCTCCCGGCACCTGTGGGGGGGAAGCCCCAACTCAGCGGGTGCTGCCTGGTGGGGGGTGATCCCCCCTGTGTCCCACTGTCCAGCACTATGTGTGGGGGGGCTCTGCATGAGCTTCCTGCTCCCCCAGACCCCCCCCCCCCTGAAGCCCCAAGGCCACTGCAGGAATGGTGAGTTCTGGGGGTTTTCTTGGGTTTTTTTTCTTAAAGGTTTGGAGCTGGGGTAGGCAGGGCAGCTGTGGCGGGGCTGGGGGAGTGAGGAGGGGTTGGGGGGCTCGTGGCAGAGCCCCCCACGCAGCATGGGGCAGTAGGGATCACCCCCCGCCTGGCAGCACCTGGTGAGTGGGGCTTTTTTTTTAAAGGGCTGGGAGCTGGGGTGGGCAGGGCAGCCATGGGGGAGTGGGCAGGGGATGGGGCATGGTCCCCTCCCCACTCCTCCCTTCCCCACCCCCTACTTACCAGCTCTGAAACCGGCTACAGCTCCCTGCTGCAGCTACTGGGGACTGCTCGAATCATCAAAGCTCTCCAAATCTTTTCCCAAGATTCAGAGCGCTTTGAATCAATTCATTGGTCCCCTGATTTGATTCGGATTTGGAGATTCAGCCACCGAATCAGGCTGAATCTCCTCCGAATCGAATCAGCACCCGAAGCTTCACACAACCCTAATTGTTATCTATGAAATGCTTCAGCTAACATTCACCTGTGAGAGGACAGTTTGAAGCACAACGGTCCGTCATGCTACTCTGGCTAATGTTCTGTCTGTCTTCCTTTAGGCTGGCTGACTGTGGGACCCACCCTCACAAACAGTAACTTTAATGCGGAGACATATGCATCCTACTTTACCGCTCCAAATTCTCATCTGACTGGCTGTACAGAAGAGATCGAGAGACTTCGACCAAAATCACCACCTCCCAAAACGAAGTCAGACCGGGGAGGGGGAGCTCCCCGGGGCGGAGGCAGAGGTGGAACTTCAGCTGGCCGGGGAGAAAGGGGCAGAGAGAGGAACAGAACTAACTTCCGGGGTGAAAGGGGTGGATTCAGAGGAGGCCGTGGAGGTACCCACAGGGGAGGTTTCCCGGCACGCTGATTACATTTGAGTCTTTAGTTCTCCCCTTCTCCATATTTTTTTTTTAGCCTTGTTTCTGCTGAGGCGAATTATTTTTGGGTCTTGGCCTACATGACTTTTTCAATTGATTGTATTCCCTTCAAGCAGTCCCAAATACTCTGCCTTCCCACATCTGGGAAATCACTTCACTTGGAGGCAAGATGCAGCACTTGATGGCACTGACCAAAAAGCCTCCTAGCAGTTTTCATTCACCTGGAAGGTGATCAGAACAAAGAGGAAGCATCAGCTGGGCTGTCTCCTCAAGCCCCGTATAGGATTGAAGAAGAGTTGTCTGCTTTGCTCTTTTTCAGACTTCAAGGTGTTTTTTTCTTTTAATTGTTTTCCTCATAAACACTGAATGCATTCCCCCTCCCATTCTGTCAATGCCATTTTTCTTCCCAATGTTAACATGCCACTGCGGAGGAATGCCATTCTCAATTGCATGGCAGTAACATAGACTTGAAATTGCTAGAAAGGAATGTGAAGAAATCTGCTGTGGGCCCATAATGGCATTTATTCCATCTTCTCTTATATTCTTAAACTTAAGGGAATAATATTGAATAAATAGAGCTCTATTTTTTTTCTATTTGTTTTACGTTTCCCTAACCATTTTTGAGAGCAGTTCTAGTATTTTTTGACTTGTCATATGTATTTAATGTTTTTTTAATCTTTGGTTAACAAACCCTATTTATGTGGTCACTTGTAATGCTTCATGGAAAGCAAAAAGTGACTGACATCTGTAATCAGTCCAGAACCTCTGTTTGCTTAGGCATGGATTGTTTTTCAGTAGGGTTTTCACCCACTGCCTGCTAATGGTCTTCTTTTTACCTAGAGAAATCAAAGTTTTATTGCAAAATATATTCAATATGTATGGTGGGGAGGAAGTTATGATGGAGGGGAAAGATAAGAACACTGTAATGAGGAAAATATCTTTCCAGAGAAATCTGGACAAATGCTGCCTGTGTAAACAGGGTTCTGTGGTTCGACAGTTCTTAAAAACTGATGTGGGGGTGAGTATGCATTATAGGAGGTCTGCTCCGGCATACAGCTTGTAAGGAAAAGCACAACTGCTTGCCATTTATTTGTTTTTAGAAAAGCTAGACCGGTAAAGCTGTTTACAATATTTGACACATGAACAAAACCAGGGGACTCTTGCTATGGACTTTGCAGTGACTAGAATACGTCTCTAAGTCTCTGGTACTTTTCAGTTGCTAAAGCCCAACTTTTAAAATAGTACCCTGTAAAGTGATGAAGTTACATTTATTTGAGTACTCTTTTTGATAAACCTTTCCTATTAACTACTGGTTTTCTTTTGGTTTTATTGAAATGCTTTTTTTTTTTTTGGTCATGCTACTTCTCTCTTAAAGTGGCATTCTGGTTTTCTGTTTTGACAGTTCAGCTTTCAGGAAAGGAACAGGGAGTTCTTACTGCCTTGCTGGGTGAGATCTCAGGGAATTTTAACATTAAGTAAAGCAAGCTATTACTTTAATTCAAGAGGTTCTGCAGACTTTGTCAGAGGTTACAGTAAATACTCGGTGAGTGGTGAATCAGTATCTCCCCTGCTTACTTTTTATTTCTCTCTGGTCATATCTGCAAAGATGGAGTGACTTGCAGTAGAGACAGAACCCTTAAAATGTAAATGTCAGGAGCTCATTTAATTATCAGTGATGCTTGGAGCCGATTATATTTGAAACAATGTTTAATAGATGTTGTATGCTATAATCTGAAAACAGTTCTTATTTTTCCTGATTGTATCATACTCATGCTGTGTGTTTTTGAAAGTAAATATTGGACAAGCTCTGCATTACAGATGACATTCCCATACCACTGGAACAGACTTCTGCAAATGGAGGAGGAAAGGCTATTAACCCGGTGCTTTCTTCCTTTGATTCTTTCTCCTCATGCATTTCTCTGTAACTGAAGATCAAGTGCTATGGGACAAGTATTCAGACAGAAAGGGAGCAGTGATTCTACAGATAAGGAGCAATGCATCCCTGATACTGCACTTTAATTTAAAAACCAACTAAAATATGTCTCCTTTTTGGAATGGTAGGGTTCAGGAACTTGGTTAAGACTTTAAAACGATGATGTACATAAAGTTACAGTAATTCAATAATTTTGAAAGTAAAACTCTCTTTTATATTGCTAGGATTTGCATTTAGATTTTTGCAAAGCTGAAGTAGTTAGAATAGGGTAAGGCAAGCAATACATATATCCCAGTCACTCTTGGGGCCATATCTGCTCTTGAATGCACACTACTCATGGAGGTTAATGGAAGACAGACAACCTGAGCCTTACTTGTTAATTGTTAGACAAGAGAAATAGACATTGTTGAATATCACCTGAAGAAAAGACAGCGTGCTCTGTGGTGTCACACCAGTGAATCTGGACAGATTGCCAGAACAGGTGACAAGGTTGTACATTATTCATATGTGCTCAGTCCTTGATTAGTCAAAATGTGGTAATTTGTTCACATGTGGTCATGAGTCCTCTGGCGTGGTGATGCTGACTCTGTTCATAAGAAACTGAAATTAGACTTTTTCATGTAGTCTATGAAAATGCTGTTATCTCATAACTTCTGATCACTGTTGACCTAGGCTGCATTTGAGTTGGCATCCTGAGATGAAAAGTTTTGTATCCCATTACTAATTGTCATCCAGCTTTCCAATCAGAGCATTTTAACAGAAAAGGCGTGATAACAATGCTTATCACGAGCAATCCAGTGAGCCTTTTATCTAAAACAAGTGGCTTAATGTGAACACTTCACATCCCTGATGACAAAAGCCTAACATATTTCAGATATTTCAAATCGTGCTACATACTGAGTGCCACCATTCTGGTTTAAGATGTCTGTCAGGTTCTTACATGTCTCATTCTGGGAGATACTTATAACGTGCATGATCTTCAAAGTCATATTTGTTCAGTAAGTGAAGGATTTGACAGTTACATTGGGAAGACCCTTGGGATGGCTTAGCCTACGGCTTCAAAGGGATTTGAAAATGTCAGTTGACTGTAAATTATTCTGCATAAATCCAGACATCAGCCTTGAGTCTTCCGCTCACAGATGCTGGCACTTGTAATAAATCGGCTGACCTGTTAGCTGTACTGTTCAAGTTGCTTGTAAACAGTTTCATTTTTTTAAAGCTCTCAATTGAATAGTTTATCATTAACACAGCCTTGCTAAGATAAAGTTATACTCCTCAGTATAACTTTAAGGACTATCACATTATTTATTCAGTGTCCAGTACATAATTAAATATTACTTGTAAAATAGGAGAGCTTCAATAGTAAAGGATTGGGCATATCAGAACAGCATGTAGCTGGTTGAGGCACTTTCCTGGAAGATGGGAGATGGGGATTTGAATCCCTTCAGAAGAAGAGTCATACCTGGGGCTCCCAAATTGTGAATGAGTTCTCTGAAAGTAAGACACTACCCTTTCCTCATCCTCTGATCTGTCACGTGCCTTCCAAAAATGGGGTTGAGCCCCTCGGACAAAACAGGTGGAGGAATACTTAGTGTTTGGATCTTGAAGATATGCACAAAGGTGCTCTGCGGTGTCTCACCTGATGGATGTCCTCTGAGCATACCCAGGAGCAGAACATAGATGTCTAGAGAACTCAAAAGAGCTGAAGAAAAGGCAAGTCACCTTAGTCAAAGTTCAGGAGCTGGCAAGTTAGCAGAACCTCGTACCCTGCTGCTGACCCAAGAAATTCTCACCACCTCTACTGATGCAGACACTCTGGTGTAGTTGGTAAGACAGGGGCGGGCCAAATTCGGCCCACCAGGCTGGGCCAAATCCGGCCCACCAGGCCATTCTATCTGGCCTACAGGGCTCCTAAAAAATTTAACAAATTAATATTTATTTGCCCCAGCTCTCTCAGAGTTGGCTGAGCCAGGGGCAATAGGACCCAGAGGGAGCC